GCTTTGTTTATGCGACTATCTGACGTTTGACAGTCACTTTAGGACTTGTCTGGGCCCTGTGCACGTGGGCTGGCCTTCGGGCCACGCTCAGGCCCCATTTCTCCTAATGCTTTCGGAATACATGTATTCAACCCCACTTATGCCTTCTACTACCCATTGGAAGCCTCAGGACGCTACACTTACAATCGAGCTTCGACATGACCTGAAGTCCAGCCCACCTTACTAATGATTCCCTATTGAGTAAAAACGCATTTTGGGCAGAGGAAATCGAAAGTCAAAGAGCACTAATACACTTTATTATCAGGCAAGCGGCATGGGTAAAAAAACTTTTACAATTTAAAGTGAGTTACTCTTGCATGCAAAGTTAAGCGATTTGCAGAGCTCCAGAATTTGGTAAAATCAAAATTGAAATTTGTGCACTACGTATAGTTTATGAAAATAATACAGATCAATATTGCATTGTATGCCATTTAAAAAACGGGATTTATAAAAGTCTGAACAAGAATTCGATGCTTGGCTAAGCCTTGAAAGAACATGTTTGTCATTTTAATGACCTACTGCAGCCTATGAAATTCCGTAATGACCAATCAGAGTTCTGTATAGCTTTAGTTTACCATATGCTCTCTCAAATTTAATAATGCGTAGGCGTAATCGGTACGGGCTCTTCTATTTTATTATAAAATGACATATTGTGAGGGCAATTGCATCATGTGGGTGTAGGAGTGGTGCTCATTCCACATGGCTTTGTTCAGTTCGGTGACTTGTAGGGCTCCGTCAAAGGAGATCCAGGAAGGTGTACTTTCTTCGATTTCCAACTGTTCCTTCATTGCTCGGCACCATGTGCTCCTGGTCATCCTTACTATTCTTGTCTACAGCAACAGCCTGTCTTGTGGATTCGTCTTCGATGATGCATCTGCTATCGTTGACAATCAAGATCTCCGTTCTCACATTCAGCCATGGTGGGCTCTCTTCTTCAACGATTTCTGGGGCACCCCAATGGCCCACGAATCGAGTCATAAGTCCTACCGTCCACTGACAGTCCTTACATACCGCTGGAACTTCGCACTGGCGGGTCTAGAAGCCTGGACATACCACTTGGTTAACATCCTCCTACACACCCTAGTTGTTCATCTATTTTATAGATTTTCGCAATGTTTTCTTGATGCTTTGGGTGGTTTGGCAGCTGCACTTCTTTTTGCGCTTCATCCCATCCATGTGGAAGCCGTTACTGGTGTAGTTGGAAGGGCAGAATTACTTTCGGCAGTGTTTATATTTACTTCGTTGCTTACCTACCTTAACCTTGTTGGTTCAGAGGAAGTGACGGTATTTTTTGGTGAGTTGTTCATCCGTTAATGGTTTTCTTTGAGTCTCGAAATTTGTAACTTTTTGCAAGTAGGAGTCCCGTTGACCTTAATGAAGCCATTTGTTCTGCCCGATATTGTTGAGTTATGCATGAATCTCGGTGGTAATTTGACTACCAACTTTCGTAGTCTTTATGAAATTTTGTAGCGCTTGAGCTGTTTTTCTCAGGTCCAAATGAAGCGTTTGTTCCCCTGTACCTATACTGCAAATCCTTGAACGCCACACATGGATGTCACATTCTAGGCCACAGCGGGCCTTATCTGAATTTGGCTTCTCTCATGATTCATACCCATTGGCCGGTGCTCTGCTTTTTCATTCATTGTTTGTGATTGTGAGCTATTCGAAGTGGGCACTCACAGCGATTTGAGTTCCCATTGCAACCATGATTCGGCATGCATTTACACTGCTCTTATACAAATATACAACAGAAGAATTAGCATTTTGATGCAGGGCGGTCACGAGTATCCAAACGGAAATGTTAGGTCAGAAAAGGTGCTCTTGTTAGCAACCCATTTCTTAAGACAGTGCAGCTTGTTGGATGGAACTCTGCCACCAAGACGCAGACGTGTCTTTGACTTCGCTGTTATTGCGGTTGTTTGCTTCTAGAAGCAAGATGATAATACTGTGTGCTTATGTGGCGATTGTCTTTGGTGCATGAATTTGTGGGAGGGGGAAATGTGAATGGATGTCTTGGTTGCTAACATACGGTAAATTCGTTCATGAACCAGCTTTTGGACAATGATTCAGACGTCATTTCTCGCTGATTTGCAGTCTAGGGTAGTTGTATTGAAGGAATGAAGGACTTTTATGTGCAACTTGCCAGTCACGATTTGTCGTCAGTTGGTAAGCGAGTAGGCACTTGGTTTTACGACTTCTCTACTTGGAGTTGAATTGGAAGTTATTTAAGCATGTGTTCGTTAAGCTTTATAATAAACTGTAATGAGATGAGCTATTGTTTTTAGTCGATGCGTTCCTCTGTTACGCGGGTTTGTAAAGGAAAATATGCCAAGGCTTGTGTGTGTCCCTTTCAGCTAGCATCTCATGAGTGTTGAAATTGGAAGGGAGGTGACACGGGATCGACTGAAGCATGAGCGTCGGTGTTCCGTGTGAACATTCATATGGACATGGGAAGTCCATACAACTTCCCATTTCGAAAGTTAAGTAGGCCAGATTTCACGAAACTATCTTTTTATGGAAAGTCTTTTCTTTTCACGGGCTGCTACAGTCTTTGCGTTGAGAAGGTATGAAGGGACCGGTCCATTACATCGTGTTGACCTAGATATTTTAAACTCTCAATCTATGGCACCCTTGCTGGTTTATTCTTCCTCGAAGGTAAAGTACCTTGTTTATTTCCTTTCAAACAGAAGTGCGCCACTTATTGACAGTCTCCTTTCTTGTGATTCTTGGAACTCTTTGCAAAGAGCAGTGTATCACAGTTGTTGGTGTCTGTCTTACGTATGACTTTGTCTTCTACTTCATTGTAAGTTTATTGCTCAACCACTTCCACTCATCCAACTATGGAGGACTTTTTATCTTCTACTTGCCTTTCCGCACAGAACACCTTCTATTCAAGAATTTTGAAGGGAAGAGCGGCTTGGAACGCCTGGAGACGGGTGGGATTTAGATTTCTCGTTCTCTCACTCACTTCTGGCCTGTTTCTTCTGGCTCGCGTCCAACTTATGGGGTCACAATTACCGCATTTTACTGCGTACGTGATTGGTCTTCTGTGTATTCATGCACTGCTAATTCAAGAATAGTTGTAACTTTAAGAGTCTGCCATCTTTAATTATTGCTCTGTTGATGTAGCTGTCGTCACATTTGTGAATAGTATGTAGTGTTGGCTAAGCTTTTTAGAGGCTATAAAGCATACAACATTGAGAACAGCTGCATTCTGAACTTGAGCTTAATATGGAGAGCCTATGAAGTTATACTAGTGCTACGCAAATTCAAAATAAACTGACAGCGTGCGTTTTCTTGCCATAATTTGGCGTCATACAAGTTCTCAAACTTCTACTTCTTTCAGATTTGATAATCCGGCTGCTCATGCACCGCCTCTGACGCGTCGTCTGACCCACCTTTATTTGGTATACGTCAATCTCGCACTCCTCTTCTATCCCTCCGGTCTCTGTGCTGATTGGACAATGGGCACCATTGCTCTCATCACGTCTCTTACTGACCCTCGAAATATCGCTACTTTCGCTGCTTTCGCTGGTCTCGTAGGCATCGCCATCCGTTGTGCTTCACCGTGGACGTCATCTCGCCAAGCACTCACCCTTTCCATGGTGCGTGGTTTTTTTGCGTAATTCTTCGTATCTGTCGTTATGTGCCAGATGAGAGGAAACATGGCTACAATAAAATTTTATCTTGCAGGGACTGGCTCTGTTAACTCTTCCTTATCTGCCCGCGTCTAATCTCTTCTTCTATGTCGGGTTTGTGGTGGCAGAACGTGTACTGTATGTGCCAAGTGCGGGATTCTGTCTCATTTTGGGGCTGGGATTTCAACATTTTCTTCAGAAGTGTAGTCGACATCGGCAAGCTGGTCTGTGAGTTTTGTGGATTTCCTATCCGTTACTGTCGCTTGCAGACCTGGTATGAACTGTGACATGCTAGGAACCTTGCTGTTGGCTGCGAGATCGTGTGGCTTCCTGGGGCATTTGTCGCTTTCTGAAGTTAAATTTGGCATTCACTTTTCTCTTGTTATTTCACTGTCACTATTTAGTTTTACTTCTGGATTTGGGCATTTTGATATAAATTTTATCTGGTTTCCTAGCTTGTTTTTAGGTTTTTGTATTACTTCTACTCTAGGTTTCGCTCAAAAGCTCTTGCCTATCTTCTGCTGGCTATCGTCTGTTCTGGGTTTTCGCTGAAAACTTTCTATCGTAACTACGATTGGTAAGTGGTGGTATGGGATGGCATGTCGTTTTTATTCGATGATTACTTGGTTCCTGATATTTTGCTCGATTGCGTTTATCAACCCTAGGCCAGGGTAATAGTGCTGGTAAGTAGCTATCCTTAATCCTGGTTTTGTCTTCTTCACCGCATTTAGAAGTCGCTTTTATGAGTGTCATCCAAAGAAGCCATAAACTTGCCACTAGCTCTTTCATTTACTTTCATTAGTACAGTTCTGCTGAAAGTGTGTGCAGGATTATTAAACATTTGTGAATCAATTTCTCTTTTAAAGCGATAAGAATGACGATAGATGCTGGTAGTATCAAGAGTTAGTTGTCCATGCATAGCTCATTCAACTCACCAAAAAATGCACGAGTCCTCACAGTTCACTTATGCGTACAGGCTGTTACATGATGACGCACTGAGTTTTATTGTCTTCTGACTTCTTCACCAAAGGTAACAACTACTGGTAATGTATCAAATCTGGTATGCACTGAGTGGTAAGTTTCTTTCATTGCTAGGAAGGACGAATATTCCCTATTTACATCAGCTCTGAAAGTGAATCGACTCAACGCAAAGCTCTGGAACAACGTAGGGCATGCGCTGGAGGGACGATCCCAATTTGACGAGGCCTTGCTTTGCTTCCAACAGGCTGTTCGGTTCATTTTCAGACTTTTTAATATTTTTGCTTCGAGCCCTTTTTACGATGACTCTTATAGCCAGTTTTGAATTTCTATTTGGTTTGTCAATCTGCTAACGTATCACAGACCGAAAGTGGATCAGTTAAGACTCGGCGCTCTTTGTGCTTAATTTCGTCCATTCCTTATCTCCGCCCTACATAGGGTCCAACCGGATGATATGGGCGCTCGGATCAACGTTGGTCGCACTCTTGTTCAACTTGGGCGCCTGGAGGAAGCTGAAATTACCTATTACCAGGCCATGGAATTCTTCCCCAAACCTAAGAAAGGTTTTTTACTATCGTTTAACTCATTAATTGCAAGCACCAGTTGCGCTGTAGTTGCTGTGACTTATTCAAGGACTTGAATCCATACTTTTAGTGGAATTCATTTAACCTTAATTGATGATAAGTTCGGGCTATTTCAACAAGCTCGCTTTATGATCCGCACGCAAGCTTTCATAGGTGCTCTGTATTTCTTGTCCCATTTTACGTTTTGATTGCCAACTTGAATTTGCATTGACTCGTTTCCCTAGGTGATTGTGTTGCGATTCTCTTGGTTTCGTTCAATTTTCAAGTGCAAATTTGGAGGTCCTAACATACATTTCATCGATGTACAAATTTTCTCATGCTTAGGTATTCAATTTTTTTCTATGCTTGCATTAGAGCCCGGTGATTGACCTGTAAGTTCTCGTTGGCTTTGCGGATGTGTTTTGTTAAGGAAATCAGCTCCTACCTTAGAAAAAGACTAGAGGTCTAGTTTTTCAGTCGACGACTTTTTTCTCCTGGTATATCAAATAGTGGGCTTAATGTTCTTTCTTTCAAGCCTCTATGAGAGGCCGTTTCTCATATTGTAATTGTTGCAGTTTCAGGTGTCGTCTTGTAGAATTAAGATTTTGTTACTGGCTATGCAGTTCGTTTCTCAAAGCAATTTTTTGGTTTCGGGGCTGTTGAAATTATAAAATTTGTTGCTCATAATGTCGAAACAAGCCTGTTTGAATTGGTGATAGATCTCCCCCTACTAGTTTAAGGTGTAAACCTAAGTCCTGGCTTCACATTTTTTTTATTTTCTTCGTTTCTTTCGTTCCTTTTTTTCCCCTTCTTTTGTGCCCTTTGTGCCATTCTCCCTATCCTTCTCAGTGTATTCTGTCCGCTAATTAAAAACGACAAATGTTCAGGTTGAATGCTTATTTGGCGTTCTTAGGCAAGGTGTACCACACACGTGTCTCACCAAAGGACTTAACAATCTTTATCAACCTGGCTAATCTCCTATCCAAAAACGACAGCCGACTGGACGAGGCCGATGCCCTACTGAGGAGGGCCATTTCACTACGCGAGGACAACGTGGATGCCTATCAGAATCGTGGCAGCATTCTTGTTCGGCAGCAAAGGCATGCAATGTGTAATGTTACTGATCACAAATTCCTTCTCTTTCGAGACCTTAAAGGGAATTCTGGGTTTTGCATTTAGGTTTGTGGAGGCCGAAGACATGTATAGGAAGGCGTTGAGATACAAGTATACCAGTTCGGCCTTACATTACAACGTAAGATTAGCTATAAATGTTTCCCCTCAAAACAAACGGTTTTATACTTTTGCACAAACTGTTTTATTATTTTCTTATCTGTGTCTCCTTGAGTAAGGCCATTTGTTTTGTGTTGTCAGATTTATTCTCTACCTAAATCAGACTGGGTTCCTTCCACCAAATTACTGCCAGAACGTTTGACCTTTGTTTTCAAGGGTGATCTTGCTCTTGAAATCATAATTATGGATACTCTACACTGCTCTTTTCCAGCTCCAATTTTCCTTTACTATTTTAGCTTGGCGTCGTTCTTTTGGAGACCAACCGAACTGAAGAAGCCTATGCTAGCTTCACTCAGGCTCTTCAATTCGATCCCCATCACGAGGTCGGTTTTATAATATTTTATTTGACGACTTTTCAACTATACAGTAATGCCATCATACGTGTTTTGTTGCTATTACTTGTTCAAAGTCCTCATGTAGTCTTTCACGGACTTCGACTCATGAGCTATTTTTTCAGCTTTGATGGCCTTTGGGATTTCAGTCCGTTTTCTTCTGTTTCATGTGGACACCATTGTATGGTTTCGCAGAATTCAGGCTTTTTCCAACCTTTTTACCAAAGCGATTCACTGGCTACTAAAATGGTACTTGAGTAGATATGCTTTTGTGTCTCCCAACACTTTTTAGCAAACTTTGTTCGCTCTCGCTTCTTCCTACTCCGAGACGACTGATCCAGTGTTGCACAAAAAGGCGATGACCCTGTAAGTTTTCAATCTTCCAAATATGGCAGCACATCTGTTTTGTGCATCTTTTTTCGCTTATGCAGGGTCGGTGACTTACTCTTGATATTTGAAAAGTTTGTTATGATCGGTCTGATTATTCGCTATGGTCCTCCTTGATGTCGAAATTGCCAGGAACCATACGGGATTTTAATAAGAATTTCACTCGGCAAATCCCATGCCTACAGCTACTTTAACATTCGACAGCAAGATGGCCTCCCGTTCGCTTGCCTTTTGAGTGTCTATTAGTTCACTACAATGGCACTCATGCTTCATCGAGAAAGCATTGCCCCTCTGGTTACTCAAGATTTCCAAGACTGAGTTTCAATTTGAAGTAGTGTCGGTAATTTCATGAACTAAATCCATCGTTTTCCGTGCGACATGCCATTATCACTATAAAGTTTTGGTTAGCGTCAGTACCAAAGAGCTTTTTCGTAAAGCTTAGAACCCACTAAATATTATCTATATAAATTCGCACATAATGGTTAGCCCACTCTCTAATTTTGAATCACCTGTTCTCAGTTTTGAAGACCTGGCTAGCCGTAACT